CACCAAGAGAGAAGAGCACAAGCAGAGTGTGGGACCCTATCCAAAAAAACAGTGACACTAGAGATGGAAGCAATGATGAGGACATGGAGAGAGGGAGCAGCTGAGGACTCTTGACTCATAGAAATAGAGGGACCGGGTGCTGGCAGCCAGGAGGCAGTCTTGCAGGATCTGTCCCTTGGTTGTTTAATAGACTATATATTCCTGTGTGTATCTGTGTACATTCCCCCACCCCAAACAAAACAAAACAAAAAGCAAAACAGGGAATGGAAGCAAATACTGCTGAATGATGATGCACGGAGCTGAGTTGTAATCATTGCAATGAAATGAAGGTGTAAAGCTAATCTTCTCCTATGTAAACTATCACTCAGTTCACAATAAAAACTTAGAAAAAAAAAGTATAAATTTAAATAGAATCATTCCTATTTAAAAAAAGTTCAAGAACATTTGACATGAATTATATGTCTACTTATTGAAACATGTTTTTAACTGTCTTATAGATTACCACACTCTCCTGATTTTCCCCCTATTTCACCTATCAGTTGTTCTGAGACTCCTTTTCAAGTTTTTACTTTTTTCCATACTTCTAATAGCTCTGGTAGCGTAGTGGTTACGAATCGAGCTGCGAACCTTAAGGTCAGCGGTTCGAAACTACCAGCCGCTCCGCGGGAGAACCCGTAAAGATTTACACCCTCGGAAACCCTGTACAGGGTCGCTATGGGTCGGACCCGACTCAATGGCACTTAACAACAACAACAATAGTTGAATTACACTTTAGTCCTTTCTCTTCTTCATTTGAACATTCTGCTGTTAATATATTAGTACTACTGTGCTAAATAGTATCTATATGCTGACGACTCCCAAATCACTAATTTTAGAACAGAACTTCTAGAGCCCGAGGCATAGATACTCAACCACCTATCCAGTGTATCTGTGTGCATGTCTGTTAGACATCATGTCAAATAACTCCTAATGAAATTGCCTTCAACTTTGCCTTTCAATCAATCTACTAATTTCAGCTAATAATTTTTACCATTTATACAATTGTTTATTTTATATACTAGGAATTAGCATTGCATTGTGTTTCTTCTTGCCAGCTTTGCATCAGGACCTATCACCTGTATTAATACATTTCACAAGTTTAATTACAAACCTCTCTCCATAAAATATCTTCTGTTTGTATATTTTCTTTTAAGGAACTTTGGTAGCATGGTGGTTACAAGTTGGGCTACTAGCCTCTGGATCAGCAGTTTGAAACCACCAGCTGTTCTGCAGGAGAAAGATTACAGCCTTGGAAACTCTATGCAGGGTCGCTGTGAGTCGAAACTGTGGCACACCATCACCATTATTTTCTTTTTTTCCTTTAGTTTGAACATTTTACTCTTGCTTCTTTACAATTTATTTTTCACATGGAAGTCAGAAATAGCATTTAAAAATTGTGATAAATCTTCTTAGAGATTTGTATAACACCTGGAATAAAAGCAAAGCTCCTTACAAATTTCTGTAAAGTCCTTTATGTTTGGTTACATATTTAGGTGCCTGAACTCATCTCCTTCAATTCTCACTGTTATTTTTATTCTGTCATTCCACTAACTTTCTCATTTTTTCTTTAAAAAATATATATATTAATCTCATCTAATGGTCTTTTTCCTTGTTTTCGATTTAGCCTGTAATTGTCATCAGCACTCCTCACAATCATTCAAATTATTGAAAACTCCATTCATAAGTTATCATCTAAAATATGCATCGATACAACTTCCTATCTATTGTTTTGTTTATTTAAAAACAATCTTTATTAAATTGTCACCTACATAAGCACTATTTGAAATCATCTTAATGATATTTAAAGTTTGCTTGTTAATTTTTTTTTTCACCTCCAATTCACATAACAAACTTGAGAATGATAGCAAGGTTTCTACCTTCCCTGTCAATAATGTATTCCAAGTATTAGTATTTCACTCTCATCTGTTAGTTTGTTGTAATGTGGTGGGTTGAATGTTGATATGATACCAGAAATTGTTCCA